TAGCAGGAGCGCAGGGAGGGCGGCAGGAGCTCGGGGAGGGTGGAAGGAGCACAGGGAGGGCAGCAGGAGCTCAGGGAGGGTGGCAGGAGCTCGGGGAGGGCGGCAGCTGCCCGAACCCCCCGCGTGGCTCCAGCTCTTCCCTTGCCTCCCTTCCCCTCCTCGGGGCTCTGCAGCACAATGCGGCCCCGCAGAAGCCCCAGATGAACCCGGGCTCAGCAGCCGGGTGGTTTTTATAACGATGTGCTAAGAGCTGTCTGTACTTTCTCCCTGCCCCAGTTCCTGCTGCCGGCTCCTCCAGGTCTCAGCAAATCCCTCACTCACTCGGCGCTGCCTTATATTTTAAACAGCGAGGTATCACTTTGGGCAGAAATAAATCTCTTTGGGGAGAGGGGAAAGAAACAGAAGAAAAGGCAGCGATTGCTGTTTCTAGTGGTGGGAGGCAATTAATGATTTCCTGCCTCTGTGAGCTGTGCTTCCTTCTGCAAACCAGGGAGGTGGTGGCACCCACAGACACAATACACTTAATTTTGGGGGACTTAATGAGGTCCATGTTTAATGCCATATGGAGGTAGGGAGGAAGCAGTGGCTGAGTTGCTGGATCCGGGATTGCCATGGCAGGTCCTGGGGTTGCAAACAGGGCTGGGGTGTGGGGAAAGCCACCTCAGGCTCTTCTTCCAGAAGAATTCAATTTTTTGCCCTTTCTTTTTTTTTTTTTTTTTTTTTTCCCATATAAAGTCTTGATTAAGAATTTTTAAACTTCCTGCTGGTGTTTGTCACGGACCCAAACAGCCATCCAACATCACCCACTTGGGACATTTATTGCCCTGTAAATACAACGTGCTGTATTGTGTACATAGCTTTTTAAGACAGATTCCTGACATAGCATCTTCCACGAAGCCTCGGCCACGCTTCGAGGAGCTGCTGTCCCCAGGCGAGCAGGGAAAGCCCCAAAGGGCTCCAATAACCCCAGGCCTGGCCATGGGAAATGGCAGAGAAACCCTTTTCTGAGCAAAAGCTTAAAAGCTTTGTTTTTTTTTTTACTTCTGAGGACGTGAGCCTGGCCACGAAGGGATGCCCTGTGGTTTCACCTGAGCTTTGCAACACCCAGGTTTCACCTTGGTGCTGAGGTGCACGCACGAGGAGGAGAAGAAAAGCTGCTGTTGGCTCAGGGTGGGGAGAAAAGGAACCCCAGTAGCTGTCTGGACAGGTACAACCAGCCTGGAGGACAGGACACCTTCTCTCTGCACGTTGCTGTATTTTTGCTGCAAAGTTTGAAGGGGGTTGAAGTTGATCTCAGGATTTTTTTAATGCTGGATGGTGGGGATACAGCTGGGCCCTGAGCTCCTTATCGGGGCCTGGGGAACATAAAAGTGGCCGAACCCAGGGGAGAAAGGGACCTTCAGATACAAGGGTCAGATGCTGATGAGTGGGGCTTAGAGGGTTGGGTGGGGGTGATGAGAGACCTGGGAAAAACCCAGCCCTGCACGGAGCACCCGCCGTGCTGCCTGCGTGGGACCTGCCGGGGCGCAGGGCTGGGAATCCATTAAAACAACATTCCATGGAGGAGAACCAACAGAAAACCTCAGGACAATGACACATTGGAGCTCATCAAGCATTTGCAGAGTCAAGTCCCAGCTCGGGCCCAGGCTGCTGGGGCCACCCGGGGCTTCTGAGCTGCCAGCAGCAGAAAGGCAGGGAGCTGCAGTGACAAGTGTCACCCTGAGGACAGTTCCGTGACGGGACAACGACGTTCCGGGCCGATGTGGGACCAAGAGGTTCTGAATGACCCCTGAGGCTGCACCCCGAGGAGACCGGACCCTGCCCCGCTCCTGGCACACACACCCACCCACTCACCCACACACCCACCCACTCACC